CAGAGGATGAGGAGAGGGTTAATCAGTGAGGTGGTATTTGTCAAAGGGCACAAAGTGTCAGTTATGTAGGATGAATGATTTCTGAAGATCTAACGTACAGTTTAGTAATATGGTTAATAGTCTATTTGAAGTTTGCTAAGAGTGGATCTTCAGTATTCTCGCCAAGGAGGAGGAGGAAGAGGAAAGGGCAAAGGAGAAGGAGGAGGAAATGGGAATTATGTGAGATTACAAATACGTTAATTAGCTTGATTGTGATGATCATTTCACAATATATACCTATATTAAAACATCAAGTTGTATACCTTAAATATATACGATTTTTGTCAGTTAAACCTTAATAAAGCTGTTTTTTAGGTCAGTAGGAAAAAGGTCAGTAAGAAACCACAATATTAACATTATTACAGCATCATTATTAATTTTTCCACATTCATTAAATGGCCAGGTATTTTTAGGTTATCAGCGTGTCTTAGGTTTCCTACACACATCTGTCTTTAACAAACTGGGTTCTGTGGTAGACACCTGCTGGGAACCTGCCCACCTCCCAGTGACCCACCTACCGTCAAGGTTATCTGTGGTGGCCACAGACCCCAGTCCCCTGGCTATAAGTGATTGGATGGGGAGGTTATCACCTGACCTTCTTAGGCCAATCAGAGTCTCCTGCATGGGGCTCTGATTGGAACTAAATTCTGGCCCTGGACCGACTCTTAAAGGAGAGCAGTGTGGATTTGTGTGCTATGGGAAGGTTTTTTTCCAACCAGAGAAGATGAGAAAGCTGGTCTGTCAGTCTGGGTGGGTCCAATCAGGAGAGAGAAACCACACAGGAGCCTGAATACAGCAGGTTTAATGAAAAAGAATTATTAACTATAACAGGGGATTGGAGAAATGAGGGGATTGGCTGCTGGGGAGGGAAGAGAACGCTAAAGAATACAGAAAGAGCAGAAATAAAAAGCAGCCACCACCCGTCGGGCTGAGATGTAATGCCTGACGAAGAGGCTCCTTCTGGGACTAAGACCCAGACCCTGTTGGCTCTGGGTCACTCGATGGGAAAAGAAACAAAGCCATCGTGGTTCCACGCCAGCAGAACTTGCTGGAAACTCACTGTCTATTCTCAGGGAGGTGTCTCACTGGAGGCACAATGCTATAAACCGCCAGGCACTGGGGGAGGAGAGAGGCTGGTGTTGAAGGAGGCCATGGAGAGGACGCGACCAGCAGCTGACCCGAGAGCTGGACCTGGGAGACCCGAGGCTCCTCCCCGGTCCTTGGCACGTGCGCTCCGCTCCGCCCGCCTTCCCTGCGCTGGAAGCTGCCTTGAATAGACAGCCTTGAAATAGTAATGTGTAGCTGAGACCATCTGGATATACATGTCTGAACCAGTTAAGGACTCTATATAAACTTTTAAGGTTCTGGTAGGCGGGTGTAGAGATCTACTCGTCCGTGGCCGCCCAAGATAGACCTCGAGAGTAAATCCCCTGGATTATTAAACCCGCACCTACCAATCTGGAGCTGTCTGCGGTCGGCCTCTTTCTTCCGTCTCTCCTTGCCCTCCACGTACATTTTTCACCTGAGAAACTGCCGAGGTGAGGAACCAGCAGGTACAAGAAGAGGTTACTGCTGGGAGAAGCCGCTGACCACAGGGTGCTGCTGGCCCTCGTGCACTGCAGACCGGGGACACTGGGGGAGCCGTGCGCACTGCAGAAAACTCGGGTACAGGAAAAGGTGCCCGCGCGGCCGGAGCCGGACCTGGAGCCTCGCATGAGCCTGCGCTCCAAGGGTTCGCCCAGTGAGGCTTCCCAGCTTGTCAAACCCGCTCGGGAGAACCAGAAACAAAACGCCTTTCCTCTTGCAGTGCTTCTCTAGCACCCTCTGCTGGCAAGGCTTAACATTGTGCCAGCTGGCAAAGGAAACATTTCAAGGACCCAGATTCAGTTCCCAGTTTAGGCCGTGAAGGGGAAAGGGTGCTGAGACCGTCTGGTCTTCAGGGAGAGAATAAAGCGAAACAAAAAGCCATCACATAAGCAAAAGGAAGAGACTGACAGCCCAACAGGAAGAAAAGATGCAGAGAAACACAGAGAAATGCAGAGAACACTGGTGAGAGGCAAGAAACCTAACGAAATGACTTTGCTGTCTTTCTGGTGGCCCAGATGCATCCCTGTCCTTTGATTCTAGGAGACACCTGTCTCTTTCTTTTCCCCCTCATTTTATTTTTTTTAACTGACGCACAGTTTAGTCACAATATCAGGTGTACAGCAAAGTGATTCAATTTTTTTTTCAGACTATTTTCCATTATAGGTTAAGATATGGAATATAGTTCCCTGTGCTATATGGTAGGTCCTTGTTATTTATCTATTTTATGTATAGACCCCTGTCTCTTTTTAATAAATGCCTCGTTTTCCATCAGCTTAAACTAGTTTGAACCGGCTTCAAGCTCTGCGACAAAGTCATCCTAGTCAATGTGAACGAGCATTAAGTGGTCCCTGACTTAAAATCTTAGGTAGTAATGCTATCATTGCTGAGTTGTTGCAGTCGTGTACAGTTGTTTGTATCTGCTGGAATGTTATCCTTTCTCATTTTTGGAAATTCTCTTCCTTAGTAGAAAAATTTTATCATTAAAGAAGTTAAAATCCTTTCCATTACATTCACTATTACCATAAGTAGACTTCAGCTGGACCTTGCCCTTTTCCCTGGCCTTTCCCTCAGATACCCTCTTTAGTTATAAGTTCTTGTAAAACTTGCCAATTGATATTTTAGAGCAAGGTTATAACCAATTGTTAGCCTTATATTTTAAAAAACTGTTTTAGTATACTGTCTTACAGGTGATGAAAGTAAAATTCATCACTTCCAGTAAGTTTTCTCCAATCTTTCTCATAGAGCGCCTGCATTTTTCCACAAGAGAGTCTCACTTATGTCCATCTAATCATCCATTTGTATGTTTTCATGTGGAAGCGGTATTGCAACTTATTTATACTCGCTGTTTTGTATGGGCTGTTTCATGTTATTATTCCACTTGATGGAGTCAATTCATCAACCACGTCTTTTCATTTACCTACCATAGTTACTAGATTACTTTGCCTCTAACATAATCATTAGTGACAGGGAACATGTTACCCAGGGGTGCTATCTTCAACTCTTTCCAGCAGCTGTTTTGTTCCTAGGTTGTCTGTGGGTTTCTAAAGCCTCACATCACATCTTTCATCTGATAATTTGTTTTGGTTTGGAGAAAGAGGCTCTAGCTGTGTTTTAATTTTTTATTTTAACTTAATTTTCAATTCTCAGTGTCATTTTTCTTTCCACCAAATTCTTTCCCTTTGCTTCATGCATGACCTCATTTTTTCTCCCAGTGATTCTCCCAGAATGCCTTGGTCATTCACACAGCCATAATCCGTTTTCATCTTAAACTATTCCTTACAAGCTTCATGTTTTATTTATATTTCTCTAGTCTGTTCTCTCTAGTGATTTCCTTTCATTTTCCTGTAAGAGCTTGTGTCTTGCTGGAACATACATTTTCCCCACATTTGTGATAATGATAATGTCAGTCCCCTTAGGTGGGGGACTGGCATCTCTCAACCCCAACACACCCTCACGGTTCCCTATCCCTCTCTCACTGGGCCTGAGACTATTGTAATAGGAGAGGGACTTATACAGAGACTGCAGACTGGATCAGTGATTCCCAAAGTGACAGACTGCATCATATCCCTCATGTGATTATTTAAAAATGCAGATTCCTGGGACTTACTCAGTCCAATTGAATTCTAACCTCTGGAATGGTGCCTAAGCCTGCATTTTTACACCCTCCAGGTGATTTTTATGCACCCCAAAGCTAAAATCCTAGAGAAGCCTTTCCCAGATGGGAGCAGTTTTCTGTCCTGAGTGTGGAGGGAGCTGGTCTGAAGTGGGGATGACCTACAAGGTTTTCCCAGACCCTGATGCTTCCAGCAGATATTATCTCTGCCTAAAGAAATGGGGACTGGAAGTCCCACTCCCAGGATCACTGCACTTAGATGTCATAACTTCATCTCAGATGTTCCTTGCTGGAACTTGACTCTGGTTCCCCAAAACAGTGTTGCCATGGGATCACAGGGCACCATTAAATATTTGAGGACAGAGATGTGAATGGGCTGTAGCTGTGAGCCTCCAAATCTGTGTTACAAATTCTGAGAACCATTCGAGCCACTGGAGCCAGCCACGGAGCTCCACCAGGCTTGCAGAGAGGCACAATTTCATCAGAACCAGCAATAAAACCAACATCCTGCCTCATTCCCCAGAGAACAGAAGAGGGGGCCTGGCTCTGTGCAAGAGGGAGAGCATTTGGCTTCTCTGTCTCTGTTTCTACAAGATTGAGGGTCCTCCAGACACATCTTCCAGTGAGTCAAGGTATGTTGATCGTCTTAACATTGCCAAGATCACCTGTCACTGTTCGGGTCTGAAGAAAGGAGAAGGCAGATGCAGAGTGAAAAGGAAGAGTGCTAGAATACGGCCCAGAGCAGCAGATGTTGCCACCTGCTGGGGCTGTGAGGACAAAGGAACATCCTGAGAGTTGAGTGGACACCAAGGAGGTAGCGGGGCTTGAAGTTCTTATTCCACTAACCAAAGGCTGCATGTAGACTTCTTGGAGCAGGAGCAGAGGAAGGAGGAGAGATGATTCCAGCCTGAGCCCCATCTCTCAAGACAGAGGACTTTGCGACAAAACAGCAGCATGTGAGTGCCTGCCAAGCACAACGAACCGATGGAGGATTTGTATCAGACAGAGAGGCAGAGAGAACCAAGAGAAAGGAAGCTTTAACCACCCGCCTGTGTTAATGTGGGCCTATCCACAAAAGGGGGAAACTGTAACCAACCAAAACTGGTGCAAGTTCATATGGTGACCGTGAGAATGTGCCTCTCAGGTCCCCAGCTGCACAGGGTGGGGGAAGGCATCACTGACCAATGGCCCCAGCTCTGTTGTATTCTGAGTTCTGTCACCATGTTTCATGGCTCCCACCAAGCCAGAGAAGTCTGAACACTGATGGACACAAAATATCTTATTTATTGTCAATCTCTGCAAAGACACATTGAAGCAACAAAATATACATTTGTCGACCTTTTAGAATTTGTTTTATACATTAACAAATACAATGTGCTACCATAGCAATAAATTAAATGTACACTATTTACATTACAGAGGCGGTCCAGGGTCCATGAATCACCTCCCTGGGAAGGGGAAAGACAAAGTTATCATCACACAGATCATCGTTTCCAAGCCACACTTCTCTGGTTCTTTCACACAGGGGACTCTCTTCACACTCACACGGCAGCCCTCCCCGGGCTGGAGTGTGGAAGGGCCACGCCCAGGGCAGGGGAGAGCTGCCACCCATGCAGATGAGCAGAGATGACACAAAATCAGAAAGGACGGCATTTAAATTCCAGTCTTCCAGCCAAACACCCTCTCCCTGGGCTGGTAAGGCACAGGACAGCACCTCTGCCCCAACAGCCTCTCACTAGGCAGGGCTCCATGTCCTTGGCGCTAGTGTGGGTCCCAAAGGGGCACGTGGCCCAGCTGAAAGGAGGGAGACATGGGACTGGAGGGAGCAGCAAGGAACTGATGGCAAAACAGCTGTCAGAGCCAGGCAGGATGCCCCAACTGGGCCCACCAGGCTGCAGGCACAGCCTTGGCAAACTGCTGACCACTGCTGACCTGCCCTGCCTCCGACAGCGGGGTAGCTGGGGCTGCGGGAGGAGCCGTGGGGCCCTTGCCAGCCACCGGTAGCCAGAAGATCTACTTGAACCCTGACCATTCCCCAACAACAGACCCGTCTCTGTTGACTCAGAATTGAATGAAGGTAGTGTTTAAGTTGGCACCTTAAACAGTCACGGTAAGAAAGTGAAACGGGCTGTCATCCCTTGAGCCTGCATTTTTATTAGCCACCTTTGTTTAAAGATCAGGGAGTCTGAGTTTTCTCTGACTACTTTTCTTCTTAACTTAAGAAGGGAAAACCAAAGTCTGGGTAACTGCACCTTCGCCCTGGCCTCCACCCCCATTACAGACAGAAGAACTGACATCACCGAGGAACCGTCCCCTGGGATCTCTGTCCCACCTTGTTTTCTTTGCCTGAGCTGCATCCAAAACCCCAGGGCCCTCACTGAAAAATCCCAGAGAGGATCCCTCCTGATGAAAAGAGCAGAAACTGAGGCTCACCAGCACCCTGGCCGACACCTCCCAGCCAGTGCCGAGGCACCAGCGAACTGGCTTCTCCAGAACTCAAGGTCCCGGGAAGTGCAGTCACTTGTTCCCCCAACCCCATTGTTGGTGCCAAAGAAAGGGCCTGGGTTGTGGGTTCTCATCCCAGCCTTGCCACTAGCTGGCTGTGTGACCCCAGCAAGTTGTTTTCCCTTCACTGGGGCTGAAGTTTCTCATCTGGAAGATGACGTGGTTGGCTTAGATGTTAAAAAGGGGCCTGGAAGTCTTGGACATGGAGATGAGGCTAACAAGGCTGAACCACAGAATATTTTTTCCCCAAAACGCCACTTCCCATTCAGGAACATAGACAGAAACTCTAAGACCTTCCAGCTCAAGCTCTTTCTGCATCTGTTTTTCAGCATCGACTGAGCAGAGGCATAGGGGTGCCATACAGAGCCTGAAAAGAAGAGTTTCTTCTGTGAGGCAGGCTGTTCCCAGAGCCAGAGACGTGTCCAGGCAACTCTTATCCTGGGGAACGTCTCACATCCTGGCAAGAGCACCACCAGGATGAGTCTAGTCTCAAGGACCAATGAGGCTGGAGCAACCTTGGAGCCCCAAGACTGGGGGCAGCAATTAAAGGAAAGACATTTGGAGACAGAGCAGATACAAGAGGGGTGTGGAGGAAGCAGCCTCCGGGAACCCGAGGTGCCAGGCCCATGGTCTGGGGGGTGAGGGGAAACTGGCCTGTCCTTGCTCTCCCCCTCAGCCCTGGGACCTCAGGGGGGCCAGTCACGTACACTCTGGAAGCCACAGGATGACCCTTCTAAAGGTAGCAAGGCAGGACCCAGAGACATTTCAGATCCTGTCCAGAGTACCCCATTAGCAAATCTCAGGTCTATTTCTTGGGGGCACACCTACGCCTCTCAGTTTCTCTGGACACGCCCAGCCATCCTGACCACTGGCTCAGACGCAGGGGGACAAAGCCCTCCCAGGAGGTAGGGCTGCAGGAGGAGCAGTAGGGGAAGCTGGGTGCAAGGTTCCCAAGTAGGACAGAGTGGGGACGACCTGAAAACCCCAGAGGACGCCCAGACCGCAACAAACACAGCACGGCACAACCACCAGGCAGCCGTGGATACCAGCTACCCAGAGAAGCGAGCCAGAACCTGGAATGGATTTTAAAGAAATGCAGTTTGACCATTCAAGCTCCTTCAGAAGCCCAGCCTACAGAACGCTCCCAGAATCCGCCTGCCTCACTCCAGCAGTGGGTGCTGCTACGGGGATTTTTAATAAAAGCTGAACAGACATTTGTTGACCTTCTAACTAGAATACATCTTACCAGACTAGTACTTTAAGTAAACATATTTCCCAGATAGTATGAGGGGAGACGTCCACCCAGCCTGCAAATAGAATCCCACAAAGTCCATGTGAGTTGGGGACAAAGGATCAAGGTTTTGCTTTAATGGCAAAAGCAACGGGGAAATTGTCACATCAGTCAAATCGAGTGTAACATTTGTATGTCTTGACTTGGGAATGGGCCCAGCTCCCAATGCAAATAAAGCTTTTGGTTGGCAATCCCTGTCATCTGCTTATTAAAGCAGGAGCCCAACCTGTGTCACCCTGGGAGCCCAGTGTCAGTGAGGCCCCACATGCACTTGAAGCTGTAGCACCTCAAGGGTCTGCTCTCTGTCTGACTTGGAGAACATCCCCTCTTAAACCCCACCACGGCCCGTCCAGCAGAAATGACCCATCGCAATGCAGACTCAGATGGGTGAGAAGGGAGGAGGGGGCCACTTCTCAGAGAGCGAGCCAGCTCTGCCCAGCAAGGGTGGGCTCTGGCTGAGGGTGCAGGTGACAGGCGGTGTCTGAACTGTACCCAGCTGGGGACCAGGCTGCAGGAATCCCTTCAATGTGACAACTGCCTACAGACCCGTGGCTGGAAAGGGGAAGAGGAAGACTGGGGGGAGGCCTGATATGACCAAAGGGCTTGGTAGCTGGAAAGAGCCCCCGGGCAGCACTGGGCCAGGCACGGAAACTGCAGAAGGACACGACCCTTCCCCTCACCTATATTCGACAGCACACGCAGCCTGACCAACCTGACCCGTCGTCCCCCGCCTGGCGTCTCGGGCTCCCACCTGAGCTGGGGGCTGAATGAACTATGCCTCCCACAAACCTCCACAACCAGCAGAGACCTGGAGCCCAGCCCAGCCCTTGGCCCTGAGGTTGTCCTCAGCTCAGGCCCCTGGTACTCTGCTGCTCACTCTTCCTGGATCCCTTCCCACTCCTGGCGGCCCACGCCTCCGTGGGAAAAGCATCTGCTCAGAGACGGACAGCTTCTCCCGCAGCCACCCCATCCGGAGCCTGCGGGAAATGAGGCCGCCCAGGAAGAGCGCGGCGCCCGCTCTCACATATGCCCAGCCGGGTCTCAGCTTCAACCGGCCGGGCAGCTCAAGACACATGGGCAGCAGGGATAGGAGTAGCCTGAGCCTGATGTCAGCAGATGGGTAAGACGCTCCCAGCACAGAAGCAAACAGATGTTTGGGAGCTCCACACACATGGGAACGGCAGAACCAATCTCTACCAGGATGCCCAAGAGGATGGCTATAAACCTGGGCTCCTGGAAAAGTGTTCCTCCCTCCACCTCCACTAGATACATTCACTGCAGCTACAGCCTCCTGCCTGCTGTGTCCAGGGCTCTGTGCTGCCCCTCCCCGGGCGCCATGTCCTGCTGTCGGCCTCTGATGCCCACCTCACCTCCCTGCCTTTCTGGTCCCTGACTGAGTCCCTGGTGCACAGATCCCCCCAAACCACCATGCCCAAATCATTCCCCTGCAGATAAAACAAGATGACAAATGACCCGGACACGCATCACATAGGGTGGTCAGGAGCAGGGGGAGCCTGGAGGAATGAGGCCTTGTCCAGAATGGGGAGGTGCTGGCAGGGATGGGCAAGGCTACCGGTAGCCAGGTGGGACACTAGGACAGACAGCTGATCTGGTGGGCAGGTGGCCAGTGGAGAAGCAGGCCCGTGATGGTCAGAGTAGTGGATGGCACCCCCAAACTGCTGGAATAGGAGCCTTCTCTGAGACAGAATCGGGGCTTCCCTGGAAAAGATAAGGAGAAGGGAGATGATGGCCGCACAGTGGGTAAAGGAAGGAGTGAGATACATGTGCCCATGGCCACAGCCCACTGAACATGCTTAAGACAGGAGGCTGCCAGATACAATGGTGCCGACTCTCTACAGCCGCAGAGTTGGGCACAAACATTACTTTGGTGAACAAGGCATCCGAAGGACCTGACGGGAGTTGCAGTAAGTGTCAACATGCCCATTTTCATAGACCAGGTTTACATAACGGGCTCATTGTGCCTCTCCCCTTGATTCCAAATGTGCCTCATACCCCCTTGGTGGTGGAGAGTTGGACCCGTGCCCTGCTCTGCTGAAAACCTCACACGGCCCCAGCTGAGGCTGGGAGCAGGGGCCTCCCTGGGCTGGTCCTGCACAACATTTAGGGAACCAGGGCATCTCTGGATATGCAGGGAGGACGTCTCAGCCCAGAAACCTGGCCAAAGACACAGGGCAGGAGAGGCTGCCAAAACGGAGGAAAGAGAGCCAACTGAGAAAGTGGGGCCCTGGGCTACTGCCCTCTGCCTGCTGGAACAAGCTCCCAGGGGAAGGGAGACCGACTTGGTGAGTCTGGTGCAACCTATCAGTCACCCCCTCCTACCCACAGCTGAGGCCATCTGCCCTCTTCCCCATCCAGACCCGTGCCCCATCATAGAGGCTCCAGGGAGGAGGTGACTGGCACTCCCCGAGGGTCAGGATCTCTCTGGCCATTCTCAGGGTATCAGGCCACCAAGTACCCTGATCTTAGTGACACACCTTCCTTCATGGCCACAGCAGGACAAACACTCAACCTACCTCGGACAGGCGAAGGACTCCTCTTTCACATTAGTGACCCTGTTTCAAGAAAAATCCATGTGAGTGTTTTAAATAACAAGACAACATAATCTCCACCGACTGCAGCTTCCGCATATTCAGGGCTCAACTCTCCAGAGAGTCTAGGAAGGGACATGAGGGCCTAGGAGCCAACACTTCCCAACTCACATCTGCGTGTGTCCAAGGGTGGGGCTCTAACATAGGAGCTGTGGCAAAGGTTGGCTGGTGACCCACAGCATCGCCCCCAGACCTGACCAGAGCCTGCCTTCCCTCCCACCCACCCCAACCCCA